GGTGTCTCGCTTCCATATAATGCCTACCATGCAGCTGTATAATATTTTACAATTTAGAATATAGTTAAAAATTAAGAGTATAAAATAAACAATGGAACTATAAATAAAGTTAGAGATAAGTAAGATTATTTTTGGGCTTTTGGCCTTTACCTGGATCTGTAGTGTCCCTATTTCGAGTGGCAATATCTCTCCCAAAGTTTTCCAAGGCTAACTTGAACTTAATCAATTCATGACTCTGATCTCATCCTGGATATCTTTGTCTGGCACCAACCTCTCTAGCACATCTAAAAACCCACCATTTATTACACGATCTGATTCAATGGATGGGTGCTTGTAGTGAAGAGATGGGTTTAGAAAATAACCGGCTGAATGAAGGTGCCTCTGAAGCTGGGTATCCCATCTCTTATCAATAATTTCAAGTATAGCCTTGCACATATTTTCTTCATCCTTTAAAACATCTTTTATTTCAGTTCTTGCCCTAGTCATTGCCTCATGTATGTAGCCCATGGCGGGCTTCGCATCACCATCAACCAGTCAAAGCACTCTCACTAAAGGGCGAGCCACCTCCAATGCAATAATTATTTGACTCCAAAAAGATGTAATCAAAATAATTTTTCAGCCTTTCTCCCATCCTTATGCTTTGACCATTTGCTTTGACTCCATTGCTCTGAAGCAAACATGGTCCTCAAGGCACTTTTTTGCTTGGCTAGGCTTCGAAGAGTGAGAAATGACGTGGCAAATCTAGTGATACCCGGTCTCACTAATTCTCTCTTCTTTGTAAAAAACCTCATCATGCTAAGGACTATGGTGTGATTGTAAATAAATCCAACCACAAACATAGCTCTTGAAATCACCCCACTAAATAAAGATGTTATACCCATTTCCTTAAGCATAAGATTAACACAGTGAGCTGCACAAGGAGTCCAAAACATATGCTTCCTTTTCAAAGTCAAGAAATGCCCAACTGCAGTATAGTTGGCACCATTGTCAGTGATAATTTGTACTACATTTTGCTCCCCAACAAAATCGACAACTCATCCATCAAGTCAGATAAGTATGTACCATCATGTGACTTGTCTGATGCATCAATAGACTTAACGAAAAAAGTACCCGTTGGACAGTTAACCAAAAAATTAATGAATGCCCTTGATTTCCCATCGGACCAACCATCACACATAATAGTGGCCCCATACCTCTCTCTTGAGGTTGGAGTATGAGTACCCCTTTGCCTCACAGCAACTTCAGACATATCATCATCATCATCATCATCAACATAATCAAATAATTGCATAAAGTAATTCCTTTCTTTTCTTTTCTTTTTTCTCTTTATCTTTTTTCAATCTATCCAAATATTCTCTAATCTCCTTTTTTATATCATCTATAGCTTGTGGGCATGCTCTTACATTCCCAGAAATTCCGGCTAAATGCTCTTTTTGTCAAAAAATACCACTCATATAAGTATTTCTACAGAGCAAGCATATCACACAATTTCTATCTTTCGGATTGTTTAGTTTAGCATATTTTCAAGCCGGATCCTTGTTACTAGCAGATTGGGAAGAAGACATTGCCCCAAAAATAAGTATAACAGTATTATTGTACAAGAAGGAATAAAAAGTTACCGACTCTGTGAAGTAGTGCTCGATTTCTTCACGACCTCTGAAATCCCCAATTTCTAATCACAAATTCACCTTAACATCCCCAAATCAACAATCAAAGGCATCAAATGAACATCAAAATATCAAACAACTGCCAAATCGAAGATTTGGATGAAAAAAAAATTTTCGCCAAATTTTTTTTTTCCTTCAATTTGATGCAAAAAAAGCCACAAAAGTGGCTGGAAATCTTCGATTAAGGGGTATAATAACCCCCCAAACAGTTTCCCTAAACTTTGGAACTACAAAAAGACCATTTTGCCCCTCCCCGAGGGGCAAAATCGAAAACTTTTTCTGCAGAACAGATGCGACGCGATGCGGTCTAATGCGGTGCGATGCGGGATGCGGCCTGATGCGGCCGCATCTGTCAAAAGTGCATATGTGCCAGTTTGCGATGCAGATGCGAGCGCATCCCGCATGATGCGGCCGCATTTTAAAACACTGATATGATGCATCCATTGTATCAGTTTAAAAGGTCTACTCCCAAAGAACTGCATGTTGAAAAAATGCAACACCCTGTTGGCCACTGTTGTTGTTAAAGCAGCCTACTCAAGGCTTCAAAAATAAATTGTTAACTAATGTTACTCAAATCAACTACAGTAAGATGAATCACCTGGTTCTCCAAATAATACCTGGCAACCACCGGTTCTGCAAGAACTATATCCAATCCATTAATGGCAAGGGCCCTTATCCAAATCCATCGTGATGGTGCCTAACATCATCTTATCAGTGAGGCGTATGAGCTGAGAGTGACTTCCTTATGGATGCATGGTGGAATATGAAAAGCAAGCAGCATCCAGCATTAATAGGACGTGATATTAATATCAATCCATGTAACCTAAATAGGTACACTCCATTTCTTCCACTAAACATACCTGCAAGCTATCTTGAGCCAAATTAAGATGAATCCCTTCCAGTGTAAACCAGTTCTTTGAAGACGTCTTCTGCCAAATCAAGATCAGTCTCGTCCTTTATATTCCCTTTTCCTTTAGAGTAAAGCTTGACAAATGGATGTGGATGTCTTATGCTTAGAAATGAAATTTTTACAGTTCCAACCAACTGCAGGACCAGCTTGTCAATAGCCTTCTCTTGATATCATGTTTTCCCATTAACCTACCCCACCCACCCCCAACCCCAACCCCTTCCAAAAAAACGTGAATGCTTTTTGTTAGAAGTGGATTTCAGAAGGTTTGACCCTTCAAATCCCCAGAGTAGTAAAAGGAAAAACACTGTTTTCTCTTAAAAGTGAGTGTTTGCGTGTTGACAGAATGGAGAATACAGTCTGACTAGAAGGGCTTATAAAAAAGAAAAATATTTATAAGACGAAAATCAACACAAGAACTACCACAAGAATATATAAAATCTACCAGAAACATTTAAGTACATTAACCAACAGTATGGTGCTGCAGCTGCAACAGCAACATCCTGGGCACCTAAGGGTTACAGATAACAAACTTCTTTGATTTTTGGATCTGATTTTTGCATTAATCCTCTCTTATTCTATGAATGATGGCAATATTTTTGTTATTTTATTTTTCTTTCTATTTTTTTTCTAGGATGACGGAGGGAGTGAAAAAGGGGAAGGGATTATGGTGATGGTTAAGTCAGGAATCCACCAAAGAATGCAGCATTATCATCCATGTGTGTGTGCATAAAAAGGAGTATGACATAATCAGGTTATACAACTTATCAAAGGCTTGCAACATAAAAATAATGTGCAAACCTCAAAACAGGCAAAGTAGATGAGAGAATATTACAAATTGAACAGAGCGAGATTACCTGAACCAAGATAAATGGTAAGGCCACTCCACCTGAAGGAGTGCTTCCTGAGCTATATAACTGTTCATTCCTCCGAACCAAATTTTGAAGGCCTACTATCTTTAAGACATGATCAAACATCAAGGTGTGGTTAAGTAAAACTTCATTTGAGAATGATAAGAGTCAGTCTGCCCATGAGTACCAGTATGAAAGAAGCGTACACACAATCATATAAGAATTTCCAAATTCCAACAATTGGATAGGAAAGACGGGGCGAAAACAGTCTCACTTGTTCATCTAGTTCCTGCAAATAAGAAGCCTTCCTTTCTATTCTGCTTCGTATTGCAATGCGTTCTTGCTGCCAGGATATCAAAATACATTTCAGATTTTAAAGTTAAAAATGAGTGTAGATTCAAAAGACACAATTAATGTCTGACAATTTTCCAGTATGTATAAGGAACCTGCACACTTGGTCCATGTTTAAGCTTAGGGAATCAAGCACACTAGATGTCAACAAGCAAAGGTATCATCAATTCAAACCTTTAGCTCTTCCATATCATTCAGGCTGGTGCGTGGCAACCCTTTCCATTGTATCTCTTTCTTATCCTTTGATATAATATCCATTGCCATGAGAACATTTAAGGCATCGTACACCCTCCTCCGAATATTTTTTTCATCATATTGTTGCTGTTAAAGAAAATTTTCAATGAGCCAACCAAAAAACAGAAAATTTTCAAAATAAAGATTGCCACCTAATCCAAAACTAATTCCCATAGCCAAGACCCCAGCAGTTTCCAGTCAAATCATAATGCATCTAACCTGGTCCGGAGTTCCAAGATTAGCACTAGGATTTGCAAATTCAGCTACCAGTTCATCGGCAACCTGTGAAAAGCCATTTACCAACATAGGCTAATATTGCCAGAACACGATTTCCGGAGGTAATACAACGTATATCTTCACAAAATCCACCACTCCCAGCAGAAAGCTGTTTAGAAAAGTAAACCTAAATGGACATGATGACCACCAGTATAAAGAACAAAAGGGCCCGCAACAATGAGCAATTCATGACTGTGGAATAAATCTCCGATATCTCATTGATTATACAATAAAAGCAATGGAAAAGAAAGTGTCACATGATCTTTCATCCAATACATGGTACCAGGAGCAAGTGGGTCCGGCTCCCGAAGCAGGAGTAGAAGGAGGGGATCACCCCTTGCCAGAAGCTCCCTGGTTCGAGATTGCCGGTGTAATTAGTATATAACAAAAATAGAAATTTTAAATAAAAATATAGAATATTAGTCATAGATACATAGCTAATCTAAAATGATTTGGAGCTCCAAGAATGCCTCCAAACCACCACCTCCCCAAAACCTATGGATCATAAATTTGAATGATGGATCTAGCTGGTTTGGAAGCTTTTCAGAGCTCCAAATTAAATATTGGTTAGAGAATGATCTGAAAGTCATTTGAAGTCTTTTAGGGCCATTGTGAAAGTCGATTTTGAGGTGAGGCAGCACAAGCAGCTAAATCCGAGGTGAGCACACCATCATTCTCTTATTTATAAAGAGTAATATGCAGCAGAAAATGTCCCATAATCTTACCTAGATGGTATTGATTTTGCATCTCTCCTAGTTGGGCTACTTCTTTTGAGCCGTGATTCTTGGGAAAAAAGCAAAGGGCTTGTGAGGCTGTTTTAGTATGGCTATAAATAAAGCCCCCACCCTAGAAATTTGGTGAATGCCTCGTATTTTCTTTAATTCCTAAGAGACAGAGGTTGAAGAGCAATAGTGACAATAGTCTATCAGAATAGTGGGTAGGTCATGTAAAGCTGATATTTAGATACTTCCTTAGATGCCGAAGTAGGTATAAGCTTTTTGACATGACCAAACCAATTGTTCCCAAATTTTAAAGATGATACTAATGGCTTATAAGATGCCCAACCTCAGAGGACTAAACTATTACACTGAGTGTTTTTTATGAGATTAATATAGAATTGGATTATGGTTTACTAGGAAAGTTTGGAACATTTGATAATAGAAACAGGCACAGAAAGTCAATAAATGATGAATATTGAAACTTCCATCCAATACCCGGAGCCTTGGTCATGATTAAGCTACACGCAGTGTTTCAAAAAGCGCTAGCCGGGTCCTAGGAGGCTTGGGCGGTCCAAGCGGCCCAGCGGCCTAGGCGGGCGCCCAGGCAAGCGCCTAGAACCTGGGCGGCCCAGTTGAATCCAAAAAGGATTTTGCAGTTATGTCAGTATCAGTTATATGTATTGCAGTACATAATTCAAATTATACTACATATTAGCATTTAGCACACACTCCATAAGCATAACCATAATCGATAAGTCGGTTCATACTCCATATCCAATTAAAACTTAAAACTTTCCAACCAACCAAATTATCAAACCAAGTTACCAAATAGTATCAAACCAATACTGCAGTACACAACCATGAGGAAGAAAAGAAAATTGAATTATGAAACTATGAAAGTAATACTTGACGACTCAAAAGAATCTTGAATAGTTCAATAGTTCAATACTTCAATCAAAGTTCAAACTTCAAAGTTTAATAATTATTCAACATTCATCATTCATTCATCATCAGAAAATCTTGGGTCAGTTGCATTGGCATCATATTCATCGGAGTCGACAGAGTCGTCACCCTCCTCGACATATTGGTCGTCCTCGTCCTCCTCCATCTCTTCTGAATCAGCCTCTTCTTCCTCCACTCTTGTTCTCTGTGCAGAAGATCTAGTGGCCCTATGAGGGTCTGCTGATGTCCCTGAAGCATCCATGACCATGTCCCATGTCAATCCTTCATGCCCCTCGACCTCATCATCATCAACTAACCACTCTATAGCATGGTCCATATTTTTTTATCTAATGGGGTCTCTCTTATCTCTCTTAACAAACCTGTCCTTCAAGAATCGATTGTACTTAACATAGACTAGGTCATTGAGCCTCTTTGATTCAAACATGTTCCTTTTCTTTGTATGAATCTAACAAAATCAAATGAAACTAATTAAAATCTAATATCACTATTTTATGTATTATTTATAAAATTATATAAATTACCCTTAGTTTCGACCTTACCCCTTCGAAAGTATTCGAATTGCACTCACAACTGGATGAAGAAATGGTTAGGTTTAAGATCCGAATGGCCAACTTTTGTAAATTTTGAGAACTACACCCATGTTGGCTCCACCAATGGGCTGCAAAGATATAGAAAAAAATCATAAATAAATAATAGAATCACTTGATTACTTGAACTTGATGAACTTAATATTATTAATACCTGGATTAATTTTAGTCCTTTGCCTCATAGCCATTAGACTCCCAAAAAACTTTAATGCGCACTTGTAATTTATCAGCTCATCAGCACATATAACATCCTGCATATCAGGATCAGAGACTAGCACATCTACACACTCATTAAATCCATTCATAATTGTGCCATTTGTTTGCATATCCTTCTCAATATAAAAAAAATTGGGTTCAAATAATAACCAACTACATGCAATGGCCAATGTATTTGTCTATCCCACTTCTCATCAATAATCTCTCAAACAGGCTTGTAGCGGGTTTCGTCATCTTTTAAATTTTGGGCTATGTCTCTTTTGCGTTTCTCCATAGCATCATATATGTAGCCCATAGAAGGCTTGTCACTATCAACCATGTGAAGGACTTTGATAAGAGGAAAAAATACCTTAAGAGCGTCCTTCACCCCTCGCCAAAAAGCTTTAGAAAGGATAATATCTCTCACCTTCTTCTCAACCTAATCCTAGGCAACCATTAGGTTGGTCAGACACTTGCATGCTCTCCAATCATCCGAGGTAAACATTTGCCTCAACTGCACTCTCATCAAATGTATGCTATCTAGGCATAAGTACCAGGTCACAAATCTCGTGACCCCAGGCCTCGCAATCTCTTTCTTCTTTGTAAAGGCACGCATCATGCTGAGGATGAGATGGTGGCTATAAATAAAATTTGTAACTAACTTGACCTTCTTCACTGCACCGCCAAGAACCTCAAGCATGAGGTCTATACAATGCGCTGCACATTGTGTCCAAAAGATTCTAGGATAGGCTATGCACCACAAATTAGATGCAGCAACATTAGGAGCAACATTGTCTGTGAAAACCTGTACAACAAGATGCTTTTATAACTTGAAATATGTAATGGGCATCATGGATATGATCAGAGGCATCAATAGACCTCAAAAAAAAAGTCCCCACAGGACAATTCACAAGCAAATTCATCTGACTTCTTCTCGTCCTATCACTCCAAGCATCAGTCATAATAGAAACCCCATACTAAGCCCATGCATCCTTCTTAAGTTCTACAGTTTCCTTCGTGACACTCACTGCCTTTTTTAAAAAATGCTCTGAAAGCTCATATGGGGTTGGGGGCTTCAACTCAAGGCCAAATTGGCCAATTGCCTCTACCGCAGCATAGAAGCTGCTTAAGCAAGCGGTATTGAAAGGAATGCCAGCCTCATAAAACCATGTAGCAAGATAAAACGCAGCTCTATCTCACTCTTCTTGATTCTATTTTCAATGATGGTTTGCTTCTTTGTTTTCTCTCCTACAACCTCAAGGTCAGGCCGAGGTAAAAAACTATCCATAGGGCCTTTAACCCGAGGCTTCTTAGTCCCAGAACCAGAAGCAATTACAACTCCCTTCCCCTTCCCTTAACTAATGGATTGTTCAACCTCTTGATATCCCTCCCCAATCTTTTCCTCATCACTATCATCATCATCATAATTGACTCGAACTCCAGACCTAATCTCTGTTATAAAGGCAAATCTCTCATCTTTTTTCATTTTTACCATGTTCAAAAAATTGTTTATTTCCTCTTTAACAGCATCAGGAGTCTTTTCACATGGTGCAACACCCCCCTGATACCGACAAGATATTTTTTGAACCGGTTTATGCCCCCTTTTGTTTCCTTATCACAAAACTATCATCTTGTGCAAAACTTATCATTAGGATCTGGTTATAGCCATATTTCCAACTGGGATAACCACTCCTATTAGATCCCGAAGAAGACATCTCAAAAATAATGCAATTTACTAAAGCAATAAAAAAAAAATCACTTACTTTGAATTTGATTACTCAATCTTCAAACTTCCACCTCAAAATACTCAACCCCTAATAACTTTGCAAAAACATCAAAACGTAAATCTAAGATCAATGGGTGATGTGGGTGATGTTTTGATCAATTTTGTTAACTTTGAGAAAAACTTTGATCCTAAAAAATTCACCAAAACTTAGTTTTTTTGGGGCTTTCTCTCTCTAAAATTGGCTCCAATAAGTTTTAAGTTTCAAATGAACCTAAAACACTAATTGTTGGCACTTTAATACAAAAAAAATGACCAAAATTGCCCCCACCGAAATTTATTTCCTCCCCTGGGCGGCCGCTCAGGGCTGCGCGTTGGGCGCTCGCCTAGGCAGGTTCCGTATCACCTAGGCGGCCACCCAGGGTCGACCGCTTAGATTGGCCGCCTGGGCGATGCGCCTAGGCCTTTCGGATTTCTGAATCACTGGCTCCACAAATTTCAAGTAGGCGAACTTTCTCCTTTCCTTATCACAGTTAAGCTCCTTGAATTGTAAACAAGCTGCGACAGAGGTTTTAAATGGGTGTCTGCCTGACCAGTGGTTTGTCAATGATATGCTTGCTATGGAACAACATATAATGCTTATATTTACTCAAATGCCACGAAAGTTCTCAAAGTGGATCAACTAGCTGCAGACATGGGTATGAGGTACATAATTAAAAGGCAGTGGTACTTCAAATCTTCTTAAACAAGGGGTAACTTCAAATCCATTTAAACAATAGATTTGAGTAAAGGGACTTTTTTTATATTTTGAATTCATCTGTAAAGGGGAATCCTGAGCTTCTTTAGGCCATAAAAGTGTACCGCTACAATGTTTGAAATTATCTTTTGGACTCAGACCAAAGTGCGAGCCTCTATAACCCCAATTGTCAGAAGAATATGCCACAAGTTCTAATCTGAGTACACATCCTCATGTCTGAGTATACATTCCAAATTAGAACGGATTTGAAATCAATGAGGATTCCAGTCAAGCTTTAGACCAACCAGTTCAAAGGTTCGGCCTACTTCCGGCAGCTTCTAAAAATAGTATTTGCAATTTAAAAAATATGAGTATATAAACAAAGATTAAAATGTATAATCTCAATGATGGTAAAATATCTTCAAATTACCACGAAATTTCCATTAAATTATGTAATTTGACTTAAAACACTCATGGTTTGTAAAGGATACTGCACCAGTTCTAATCAAATTCTCATTCTCACCTCAAGAAAGGTGAAAATTACAGAATGAAGTGACTGAGTTAGAGCAACCACTCAACCCCATCGGGTGGGTCATAGATGATAACCAAATTTTCAACAATTGTTCAAGCTCAGGGTTAATAACATCGCTATAAAGGCACCCATGGTAATAAATAGACATGTTTTGTATGGTTGTTACCTATGATGCATGACTAAAAATCAGTGTGCCACCTGTGTCTACTACTTCCAAAAAATGTGCAAATTCATTAAACTGATTTCATATGCATACAGACATCCACCGCCAGATCTGTGCACTATTTTTCTTTGCAATTCTAAGTCCAACCTGAGACTTTTACAGCACCAATTGAACTGCCTTTGATTTATTGACATACACATTTGAATAAAGTGCACACATCTTCGTAATTCCATCCAGACTTGATTCAACTTCCTAAAAGTAATTAATGGTAAAAAGATTTCATACAAATAGATTTGAATGAAATACAGAACACCATTAGAGTAAAAAACAGTAAAATATTTTACCTCATTGTAGGTGGTTCTGCCTTTGCTCTCTACCTTCTCACAAACTAAGAAAAAAAAAAAAAGGAAATGGTGCGATAATGAAAAGATTAGACTCATTGTTAAATGGAGAAGAAAAACAAAAACAATTAACAGACTATACAACATTATTGAGCATGAGACTTCACTTTTAAATAATTCATCAATGAATAGTATGCACCTGCCAGACAGCACCCTATCCGGTATTAATATATAAACAAGGTGACTATTAGGTAACGATCAGCCAACCATTCTAGAAATAACTTTGTACCAAGAAAGCAAAATATAATAAGTGCCAGTGTTATCAAATGCGGCCACATATGCAGTATATCAAGATGTGGCTCATCGACTGCATAATGTGGCCACATCGCACAAGGGCCAATGTGCCGCATATGCACCCCTACTCATGAGCAGAAATTTTGCCCATGAGCAGGAGCAGAACAATAATTTCCAACCGAAAAGGGATTTTTTTTTTTTTGTTTTGAGAGGATGGGGTTGTGTTGTTTGGGGGAGGGGTGTTGTATATAAACCCTATATAAAATCCCCAAAAACCATTAAGACCATGCCTCCATGGTTCTAAGGGGATTGAAAGAAAAAAAGGGGTAAAAATTTGTGTGCTCCCAAAACTTTTGAAAAACAAATTGGGGTTTCTTCTTGACTCTAGGGTGGATTGTTCGATATCATCTTAAGACTTCATTTTGAAGGTTTTACAATGAAAATTCAACGAGTATTCAAACGATTCAAGGCCTTGGAGATTAAATCCAAGAAATCAAAATTTCTTTTGATTTGGGTTTTGGAATCAGATGTTCTAGAACCTCATATGATCATTTTCGGTGAGTTTTATTTCCTATATTACCTTTATTTAGGGGGACAATGTCTTCTTCTTCATCAAGCAACAAAGAGACGCCATGGAAATATTTTAGATTAAACAATCCAAAGGATTGAAATAGTGTTTTTTGTCAGTATGCTATGTGAGAAAACATATATGGCGTGTATTTTTTGGCAAAAACATCCTGCCAGAATTACCAAGAATGTGAAGGCATGCCCTTAAGCAACAAATGAGACTAGAAGAGAGATTAAGGCATATTTGGATAACCTCAAAAAATAAAAAGAAAAGAAAGCAATGAAACAAGAAGAATTTCAGATGAAATTCACGTGCGATGATGATGAAGAAGATGAAGACTCTGAAGTTAGAAGTGGACATAGAATTATAAGCGAGATGGTTATAAATATTGGTGGAAAAGTAGGGTATGAAAGGCCTCTCACTAAGGGGCCAAGGAATTCTTTTGTACTCCGAATCCCGAAGTTGTGGTAGAGCATCAGAGGAAAAAAACAAAACAAACCACACTTGAAAATAGATACAAGAAAGAACATAAGCATAATATTTGTCAATACATTGCCAAGTGGTTTTATTAACCTGGTATTCCTTTCAATATCGTGCACCTCACTTTCTTCAAGGTTATGGTCAAGACAATTGGGCAATATGGACCCAGGCTCAAAATTCCCTTTCATTCATGAGCTCAAGGGGGCTCTCTTGAAGGATGCAGTGAACGATGTGAAAAACATTTTGAGTTCTCAAAAAAGGGCAAGAGAAGTACGGGGTGACCATCATGTGTGATTGGTGGTCCGATGGAAAGTCACGTACACTTATAAACTTTTTGGTCAATTGTCCCTTAAATACTCTTTATGAGAAGTCTATTTATGTATCGGTAGGTCACATGATGCAGCTTACTTATGCAGTTCGATGGATGAAATTCTAGATTTTGTTGGGGAAGAAAATGTGACATAAATTATCACCAACAATGTTGTCAATTACTCCGCAGTTAGGCATCTATTGACTTTGAAGATTATGCATATGTTTTGGACTCCTTGTGCAACTCATTGTCTTGATCTCATGTTTGAGGACATAGGGAAGACGTATATAGTTAAAGGGCCAATCACCAAAGCTAAGTTTGTCATTAGTTTTATTATAAGCATACCATAGTCTTAAGCATGATGAGAGAGTTTACAAAAAAAGAGAGAGATAGTGAAAACAGGAGTCACTAGATTCACCACAACATTTCTCACCCTTTAGAGCCTATGTAAGCAAAAAGATAGCCTGAGGAGCATGTTCACTTCAGAGAAGTGCAACAGAAATAAGTGGTCAAGGCATCAAGATGGGAGAAAAGAAAACAAAATTGTTCTTAGGACATCCATTTAGAACCAATGCTACTATTCCTTGGACATTTCTCACCCTTTAGTGAAAGCAGATCGATTGATGAATGGAGATGCAAGCCCGCCACGAGCTAGTAAGCTACATACATCAGGCCATGATTAGGTGAAAGAAAAGATAAAAATGAAAATTTATGAGACCAAATACAAACCCATAATTAAGATTGTAGATAGGAGATTGGATCCTCCATGCAATTGGGTTCTTTTTTAATCCATCTCTTCATTACAAGTACCCTTCATTGAATCGAATCTTAAAATAAATGGAGGGTTCTAAGTTGTACTCAAGAATTTGGTCCCTGGACCTTCTACACAAGATGAAATCCAAAGTTATGAGTTGATCAAGTTCAAGTGTGCACTTGGGAACTTTGGACACGATATCACAATTCGGAACAAGGATACCACACAACCAAGTAAACGAAAAAAATGCAAACTTTAAAATTTGAAGTTTGAAATTTTGAATTTCACTAAAATTTGCTAACTTTTATTGCCTCTTTTTTTCTTTGTTATAGTTGTATTAAACTCGAGTATCTAAACTAATATGCAGCTGAGTGTTGGCCTTTTATGGAAGCGAGACACCAAATATCCAAATGTATAATATTCAAGTGTTGAGCCTCACATGTAGCTCATCTGGTTGCAAGTGCAACTAGAGAGCATTGGAGCATGTTAGTACTTTTTTTCCTTAGTTTCAAATTTAATAGAATCTAATTGTAATAAAATAGAAATGCATTAGGAAATGGTAAGATTAAGTAACATCTTTTCTTCATTGACTCATTGATTGTATTCATGCTTTGTGCCACAACTCCATCCCAAACCAAGGAACAGCCAGAGCAGCAAAAGTTTGAATGATCTCGTTTATGTCCGATACATTGAACGCCTATGGGAGAGGTATTTGAAGTGCATGACCGTTCACCCAATTGCATTTGAATAAGTATGGCCTGGCACTAGATCACAAGGAAGAATATCCACATCGTCATTGGTTCCAGAGATCGAGGAGGAGGAGGTTGACTCGTAGGAAACATTGGAGGAAGAAGTGTATGTGGAGGAGGGTTCGAATGGGGGAGATGTACATGATGGATCCCATGACTTATCTGAAACTTGAGAGTTCAGAGTTGGCACAATGATTTACTAAGGTTGAGTGTCTATCTCTAATATTTTATATATCATATGTTATGAACTTTTGGCCATTGGAGTTTAAGTTACGTTTAGGTTGTGAATGCAAGGTTGTGATTGTAAACTTGTGATTGTGAAGTATTTTTGGTATTGGATGTGATATTAAAGTGTTAATTGTCTATTCGGATGGAATGGATTACATTTCTATGTTACTCTTTATTAGACTATCAGGCTATCAAGGGACTCAGACAGCTAGTCTATTAGAGAAAACTACTAGTTAAAAATTTCTTATATCACATAAATGACATATTTGTGTTTTTTTATCCATTCTTATATTTTTTATAATTTTTATAATTTTTCTAATTTTTTTTAAATCAATGACTACATCGCCTATATGTGCCCCCTCAAGCCACATCCTGCATCGGACCCCCAACCGCATCGAATCTGCATCCTGTAGTTGATGACACTGACAATGCTCTCAAGAATCGGAAATTAAATGGTCACATTACCTTTCAGGCTGAATTGGCGAAGTCCCCTCCCAGTTTTATCAGCACCTACAGGTCTCATGCCTCGCTTTTTCTTCTTTCCCCTATTCATATGAAAATAGTGTCTTAACCACCAAAGTGAATAGCAGATACAATAGTGAGCATTGTGATGCTTGCTTATTTATTCATGAAAATCCATTAACTACTTGAAGGTAACAAACAGCAAAAAAATAAAAGATCAGTAAAATAAGCAAACCCTGAGGGCACAGGAGACCCAGCATCATCATCATGAAAATCCAGATGGTTTAACCTAACAAATGTGCTTTCAGTTGCAGCTGTGGTTGTTGCTGGTTCACTTCGATTGGATGGAGAACCTACACTACCACTGGTTGAAAGTGATTGGCCATGACCACCTGAAATTGATCCCCAAGACCTAGATCCCCTTGGATATGTAACTGGGACTTTCCCCATATTATCCTCATCCAACGAATTGTTGCCACAAGTTGCCATTCCTGCAACCATGAGAAATTGAATACATCAAAACAAGTTCTCTTTCTTCTTTTCTTTCTTATTGAATAGAGGCAAGCAAAGTATATCAGACAAAAATTTGCCTTACAGAGTGGCATAAATTTCAAGAAAACTTGACACAATTTAGAATCATCCAAATACAAAGTCAATTTGATGAAACGTTAGCAAAGCATCAGCAGATGCTCAAGCAAAATGGTTTTTCTAATCTGCAAAGTGATTCCTGTGGAAGACCAGAAATGCTAAGCCAACATTAAAAGACATTGCAAAGAAAATATAAGCACTTTATGGCAAAAAAGTGATAATCATTTCAAATCATAGCAATGTTTGGGAAGAATAAAATACGATCAAAATAAGCAACCAATAACATGATAAGAAAGTAAAACTCTGCATAGCCAATGCGTGCCCTAAATAGAACAGTCACATTCATATAATTATGAAGTCCAATGCAGAAGAAAATAAGGCCCTATTTGGTAATCAGGAAAAGAGGGGAAACCTTCATACTTTTTCCTCCTTTCCTAATCTCTTATCTATTTTGCTAATTTGTTTGAGTAAAAGCTAAAGTGAATATTTTCCCCATCTTTCCCTGTCAACAGGGAAAGATGGGGAAAGTCACAAACCACTCCGTGACTCTCAAGAAAGACGGAGAAAGCCTAAAATAGCCTATCATTTCTCTCCTCACACTTCCACACACTCTCTACCCACTCCCTCCCTTCCCTCATACCTAGCCTGGATCGTCTCTCTCCTCTCTTTTTCTCCCCCTAAAACCCACACACCTCTCTCTCTCTCTCTCTCTCTCTCTCTCTCTCTCTCTCTCTCTCTCTCGCTCGGATTCTATTTTCTCTCAAGTTTTAAGGTATTCTATCTATGGCATTTGCATGAATAGTTTGGGGTTTTATGGTTGATGTCTTGGGGTTTGCAGCTTGCACTTAATGTGCTTGATCCATCCTAGTTTCTCTTTATCTAGCCTTGCTATGTAGGTTTTCATCTTTTAGACCGATGGACAGCAACTTTGTTTTCATATGAGACAAAAGATCTTCCCCATTTGTATGGCATTAATCTTTATTAGGCTCTAATTGGTTCTTCAATTCAATTGTTTGTGCTCTCTTGTCTCAATGGCCCAGTCAATAGTTCCTTGGGGTGAAAGCGAAAAAAGCTTCAGGATAGACAGCGAAAGCGCGAAGCAAGGTAGCTGCGAACAGTGTTTTAAAAAGCGGATTGCCCAGTGCCTAGGCGGTCTAGAAGGCCTGGGCGCATCACCCAAGCCTAGGCGGCCAAAATAGGTGGATATTCCTAGGCGCCAGGGAACCTGCCAAGGCGGGTGCCCAGTAGCCAACCCTGGGCGACCGCCCAGGACCTACACCCCGCCAAGGGATGGAAATGCTACTCGTTGAGGGTATTTTTTTAATACTAAAGGGCAAAATTGTGGGTTTTTCCATTTAAAACCTAAAACCCATTAGAGCCTATTTTAGAGAGAAAAAAAAAGGCCCAAAAAACTCGTTTCTCGTGATTTCCATAGGATTGAAGAGTTTCTCAAAGTTATGAAAAATTGATCTAAGCATCACCTATTGATATTAGATTTAATTCTGGATGTTTTATAAACCTATTAGAGGGTTTTTTAATAGATTTTGAGTCCTTAGAAACATCTTAGAGGTGGAAGTTTGGAGATCGAGCAATCAAAGTTAGTGATTTTTTTTATTGCTTGTATAAGTTGTATTATTTTGAGATGTCTTCTTCGGGATCTAATCGAAGTGGTGATCCAAATTGGAAATATAGCTACAACCCAAATCGTTTGGATAAAATATGCATAAGATGCAAGTTTTGTGAAAAGGATACAAAAGGGGACACAAACCAATTCAAGAAACATCTTACAGGTATCAGAGAGGATGTTGCCCCATGTAAAAAACTCCTAATGTTGTTAAAGATGAAATAAACAATTTTTTGAGTCTTGTAAAAATGAAAAAGATGAGAGACATGCATCCATAGCAGACATGAGGTCTGGGGTTCAGGTCAGTTATGATGATGACAGTGATTAGGAGAGGGAGGGATGTCAAGAGGTAGAACAACAACAATCCATGATTAAGGGAAATGGAAAGGGAGTTGTAATCACTTCTGGGAGTTCAGGGCCTAAGAAGCCTCGGGTTAGAGGCCCTATGGATAGTTTTTTGCCCCGGTCTGACCCTGAGGTTGCAAGAGAAAAAACAAAGAAGCAAACCACCATTAAAAATAGAATCAAGAAGGAAGAGAAAGATAGAGCAGTTTTTTATATTGCTACATGGTTTTATGAGACGAGCATTCTTTTCAATATCGCTCGCCTAAACAACTTCTATGCCTTAGTAGAGGTAATTAGCCAATTTCGACCTGGGATGAAACCCCCAACCCCATATGAGCTTTCAGAGCCTCTTTTGAAAAAAGCGGTGTCATGAAGGATGCTGATGAAGTTCAGAAAGATGCATGGGCTCAGTATGGAGTTTCTATTATGACTAATGCTTGGAGTGATAGGAAGAGAAGAAGTCAGATGAATTGCTGGTGAATTGTCCTTTAAGGGCTGTTATTTTTAGGTCTATTGATGCCTCTGATCATAGCCATGACGCCCATTACATATTCCTAATTATGCAGAAGGGAATCAATGAGGTTGGGGAGCAGTTTATTATACAGGTTGTCACCGATAATACTGCTCCTAATGTTGTCGCTGCTAATTTGTTATGCATAAATTACCCAGGAATCTTTTAGACACCATGTGCAGCACATTATATAGACCTCATGCTTGAGGCTCTTGGCGGTTTAACTGAGATATCAGGTGCAGTGAAGAAGGCAAAGTCAGTTACAAATTTCATTTATAGCCACCATCTCACCCTCAGCATAATGCGTAGATTTACAAAGAAGAAAGAGATTGTGAGGCCTGGGGTCACAAGATTTGCGACTTGGTAATTATGCTTAGATAGCATACATTCAAGAAGAGTCCAATTGAGGTAGATGTTTACCTCGAATGAGTGGAGAGTATCAAGTGGTCCAAGGACCACGTTGGGAAGAAGGTGAGAGATATTATCCTTTCTAAGGCTTTTTGGCGAGGAGTGAAGAGAGCTCTTAAGGTATTTTTTCCTCTTGTCAAAGTCATTCGCATGGTTGATAGTGACAAGGCTTCTATGGGTTACATATATGAAGACATGGAGAGATGCAAGAGAGAGATAGCCCAAAATTTAGATGATGATGAGAGCCGCTATAAGCCTATTTGGGAGATTATTGATGAGAAGAGGGATAGGCAGTTACATCGACAATTGCATGTAATTCGTTATTATTTGAACCTAGCTTTTAATAAGGATATACACACAGATGACACAATTATGACTAGATTTAATAAGTGTGTAGATGCCCTGATCCGGATATCCAGGATATTATATGTGCTGATGAGCTGATAAATTACAAGTGCGCATTAAAGTCTTTTGAGAGTCCAATGGCAATGAGGCAAAGGACCAAAATTGATCCAGGTAATAATATTATTAAGTTCATCAAGTTCAAGTAATCAAGTTTCATTTCTATAATTCTATTATTTATTTATTCTATATCATTGCAGCCAATTAGTGCAGCATGGGTGTAGTGCTCCAAATTTACAAAAGTTCGCCATTTGGAACTTAAACCTAACCACTACCTTGTCCGGTTGTGAGCAAAATTGGAGTACTTTTGAGATGGTCATTTGTATTAGTACTTTAATAGTTATTAGTTTTGTACTATTACTATTATATATTTAATTATTTATATTTATTAGTTTCATTTGATTTGTTTAGATTCATACAAAGAAAAAGAACAAGCTTGAATCAAAGAGGCTCAATGACCTAGTCTATGTCAAGTATAATCGATTCTTGAAAGACAGGTGTGTTAAGAGAGATAAGAGAGACGCCCTCAGATCAAAAAATATGGACAATGTTATGGAGTGGTTAGTTGATGATGATAAGGTCGAGGGGCATGAAGGATTGACATGGGACATGGTCATGGATGCTTCAGGGCTATCAGCAAACCCTCCTAAGGCCACTAGATCTTCTTCACAGAGGATGAGGGAGGAGGAAGAGGAGGAAGCAAATGCAAATTCAGAAGAGACAAAGGAGGACAACCACCATTACGTCGAGGAGGGAGATCATGAAGATGATGATGCCATTGACTCCAATGGATATGATGCAGATGCAGCTAACCCTATTTTTTTTATGATGAATGATGATTGAAGATTCTTTTGAGTCTTCAAGTATTTCTTTCATTTTTGTCTTCCTCCTCTTGGTTGTGCATTGTGGATTTGTGGTTCCACTGGTTTGGTAACTTTGGTAATTTGGTTGGTAAATTTTAGTTTTATGTGTGGACTGTGGAGTGTGGACTATCAGACTATGGATAATTGGATATGGACTTATGGTTATGGTCTTATGGAGTATGGAGGAGTGTGTGCTATGTGTTGTGTACTATACTTGTGATGTGCCCTAAATCCCTAATTCTTATATTTTACACATTTATACTTATATTGTTAGACAATAGAGATATTTTTCTTCCTACTGGGCGTCGGCCTAGGTGTTGGAAGGCTTGTACCCCCCAGGCCGCCTAGGACCGCCTAACGCTTTTTTAAATACTAGTTGTGAAGTTCCATGATTGAGGGAATAAGTTCTGTACATGGGCAAATGTAGCCTTCGAGATCCCTAACATTTAGGGATCGAGTTCCATATCTGTAAACAGGCGAATCGCTCACAAGATGGGATCATGTTTCACATTGTTAAGATTGAAGTTCCCAACATTCAATTATCCACTATATTTGCAATCTAGGAGTGAGTTCCATTTAATAGTATTTTTAACTTTTTCCAAATTCATAAACCCGAGTATCAATGTAAATTAGAATCATGTCATTGAGAAAAGACCTATAAAAAACAAATAAGAGTAAAGTGCTAGTCTTTTCAAATCTTAGGTGTAGTTTGATGAATTTCTTGTTGGGAAAAGAAGACCGGTAAAACAA